CCCCCCGGACCGCTCCTGACCCCGCCTCCCTACCTCCTGGCTCGCCCCTGACCCGGTGCACTTGGCTGAGCATCTGGCCACTCAGTCCGCCCCTCTTGGCCCCGCCCCCGCTCCCACCCGGCGGCTCCGCCCTCTCCCATTGCCAGAGCAGAGACCCTCCTCTCAGCCCATTGGCGGTCGCTACGGCCCGCCTGCCAGCCCCCTAACTGGCCCGGGTTGGTGGTGGGGGTGACAGGGTGAGGGTGTGAGGGGTTAGTGATGAGTTACCGCAGGGGATTTTGGGTGACACCAACCTCAGCAACGCCACTGCCTTGGCTGCCGCTCACCTTGCGGTACCGGCCTGCCCTCTGCCACTGCCGCCGCCACAGGCCCTTAGATCATTTTGGTGTCCCCCCTCTGACACTGTCAGGGGGTGCAGTCCACAATCCCCTGGCCAGCCCCCTTAGTGACGCCACTGCGTTTTCTTCTTGCCATACTGACTGGGCAGTTTTTCCTTTTCCCTTTGTTCTTGACTTTAATTCACACGATGTTTGCCTTGTCACTTTCCTACACAGTATGTGCTGTACGCCCAGTGTCTGGCAGGTAGTGGGAACCCAATTAATACATGAAGAAATGCAAGCATATGAGTAAATGAAAAATGCACCCATTAGTGGGCGAGCAACGAGTGCACAATGCAGAGGCTGCCCGTATCTTTCACCTGGCCTCTGAAGCTCTTTTGAAACCTGGATTTCTTACTCTCCTGTTAAATATTTCCACTTGGAGGGGCTTTGAGTGTTAAAATAAGCCACACACCTCACTTTTGGGACATTCACTACTTGTGCAAATTCTTGACACCCAGCCCCAAGATGTCCATTCCGTTTTCTTTGGTTGGTCGCTAAGTCAACCTGTCTGAAACCAGACTCGCCCATCATGATCAAAGCTTGCTCTTCTGACGTCTGTCTGTATTTCTCCCAGTCTTTCTGGCTTTGGGTCTTGGAGCCTTCGAGGTCTGTCCGTCTCCTTTCTCCCACTCAGCCAGTTGCTGAGATGAGATTCTTGCTTCATCAGGCCTGAATTTCAATCACCATGTCCTTAAGAAACTCTAGAAACAAGCTGACCTGAAGAGGTTAATGAGTGTTAATCATTATCACGAAGCATACATTACACTTCGGACATTTGTCAGACGCTATAGATGCTATCAGACATGTGGAGTATCTGGGTGGCACAAACAATTAACATTCACCTCTAACCAAAAGGTTCGAGTCTAACCAGGTAAACCTCCCAAGAAAGACCTGGTGATCTCCTTTCAAAAATTCAGCTGCTGAAAACCCTGTGGAGAACAGTTCTGCTTGAACCCACGAGCGGTCGCCAAGAGTCAGAACCAACTCAACAGCAACTGGTTGGTCAGATCTATAATCCCAATAACCCTGTGTAGTAGGTATCAGTATCTCTGGTTAACAGAAGTCTGGCGGTCCAAACCCACCAGCCACTCTTCGGAAGGAAGCTTGGGCAATCTACTTCCGAAGAGATACTGTCTCGGAAACCCAATGAGGGGTCGCCACCCAGATACTCCATATGTCTGAAAGAAATCTATGTTTGTGAGTCTAATCGACTAGACAGCAGTGAGTTTGTTTGTTTAACAGTTATGCAAGCCAAGGTTCAAAAGAATTAAGGGGCTGGCCCTCAAGCTATAACTAGAATTTGAACTATGGACCCATGTTTTGATCTGACTCGCCATGCTGCCTCTTCCCCTGATGACTTAACTGCACCACTTGGGCCCACCCAATCCACCACCAGGCCAAAGAGCCTCAGAGGAATCTTCCCATAGGAATCTTCTTCACCATCTTCCTCTTCCTAGCAGCCCCACTGCCAGAGGCTTCTGGCTTCAGCCTCATTCCCACTCCCAGCAGAAAGTCAGTAGAAGCCATATCTAAATCCATTCCTACGAGAAGTTCCAGGATCGATGGGGCCAAGCACATTAGGAATATACTCTTCCCACCCACATCTCCCATCCCTAAAGAAAGAAAAGGAAGACAGAGGGTGAGAGAGACATCGTGTTGTTTATAGAGACAGAGTCAAATATGAACAAGAGAGGAAGCCAGCCGAGTGGAGTTGTAATCCTGTCCCTGCTGCTGACAGCTGTGTGTGTGACTTTGGACAAATTCCCGAACCTCTGATTTGCAGGTTCCTCATTTTAACATGGGATAATAATAACTGCTTCTCTGAGGGCCGTGGGGAGAATGACATGAAATGACATTGTTGAAGCACCAGCACATAGTCGTTGGTGACACTTGGCAACCCATAGCCACCCCGCCATGGAGTCTGGGGAGAGGTTGATGCTGTGTATGCCTGTGGCTTTTTGTCCAGCCAGCTGCTGGTACCCCTGCCCCTGCCTGTGACACGGAGTTACCGCTGATCCTTCTGTTCCCTGTCACACATTAACTCCTGAGCAAATAACCCCAAGGAGTCACTGTTTCCAGATTGGACCATACCTAGTCCAGGAGCCTTTTTCCCTCATGTTTAAGGAGCTCTGGTGGTGCAGTGGTTAAAGTATTTGGCTGCTAACCAAAAGGTCAGAGGTTCAAACTCACCAGCTGCTCCACAGGAGAGAAAGATGAGGCAGTCTGCTTCTGTAAAGATTGACAGCCTCGGAAACAGTTCCCCTCTGTCCTACATGGTCACTATGAGTTGGAATCAAATTGATGTCAGCGGGTTTGGTTTTAGGTTTTAGTAGCATTTTTATCATGCGTCCCACACAAATAGGCCAGCTCCTTAACCCAAACCCCAGCAAGGCAGCTGGATAAATATTTTTAACCCATGATCTGAGTATTAGGAGATGACTCTCTGATTGTACAAAGGGCAGTTGAAAAAAAATCTATGTTTGTGAGGGCTAAAAGCCTCTTCTGGCTGTTTGTCTTAAGAGATTGCAAAGCAAACACCTCTACAGGTGCACACGGTGCTTGCATGAGAACTGTGGGAAAGAAGCCCACATGAAAGAACTCAGGCCTCAGGGATTTGGAGTCAGAGACATGGTATGAATCCCACTCTGCTTGTTGCTAATTTCACTGGCTGCCTTTTGGGAACCGATTGACGGGCCATTCTTCCCAGTCTGTCTTCGTCTGGAAGTGCTGCTGAAACCTGTCCATGATGGGTGAGCCTGCTGGTATCTGAAATGCACTGGCATAGCTTCCAGCTTCACAGCAACACGTGAACCATCACAGTAAGACAAACTGACAGACGACCGACACAAACAAAATCCTCAATGAGATGGACTCGCACAGTGGCCACAATGGACTCCAACAGACCAACGGTCCTGAAGGTGGTGGACTGGACACCATTCCCTTCTGTCATACATAAGGTCCCCATGAGTTGGAGCCAACTCAATGGCACTTAACAACGGCTCTTTGCTTGCTGGATGACCTGGGCAGGTCATCTCCTGGTCTGTGCCTGCAGGTTTCCATCTGTCAAATGGGGCTGATCTACTGCCTGGCCTCGGGCAGTGTTTCTCCACCTCAGCACTGGGGATTTGGGGAAGGAGAGTTCTCTGTTGTAGGGAGCTGTCTTATGCATTGCAGGATGCGTAGTAGCATCGATGGCCTCGGCCCACTGCCCACTAGATGCCTGCAACACTTTCCCCACCCCTCACCTGACTTACCTGGTGCTGCTGTAATAGTAATGCCACGAACAGATGGCTTCAAAGAACAGAAATGCCTTTCCTTATAGTGTGTGTGGCTGTGTCTGTTCTGTTCTTTTTATAACCCAGCAGTGATTAGGCTTAGGATCCACCACACTCTGGTATGACCTTAATAACATGAAAGAAAACCTCTATTTCCAAACAGGGTCATATTCACAGGTACAGGGATTATACGTATTTTTTTGGGGAGTGGGGCACAATTCAATCTATAACACCCTTTAAGAGTTCAGACGTTATCAAATCTACTGGGAGGCTAAACTGTACCCAGGTGAGAACCACTGGTCTAGAATGTCACTTGAAAATGCTTTGTGGGTTCTGAGTCCAGTTACTGATATATACAAAGTAGGCTCATAAAGGAAGCAGCCTATGAGATAGTAACAGTGGTTGCCCACCACATCAAGCTTCTTAAAATACATTAAAAATACTTTACACCAATTTAAGTGGCCTTAGAGATTCTTACAGATTCTGCCAGAGTTCACCTGGCTCAGTGTAGAATTCACAGCTTCCATGCAGGAGACCCAGGTTTGATGCTGGGCCAATACACCTCAAGTGCAGCCACCATCAATGGAGGCCACCGTCAGTGGAGGCTTGGGTGCCGCTATGATGCTGCACAGGTTGCAGTGGCACTTCTAGACTAAGACTAGGAAGAAAGGCCTGGCAATCTACTTCTGAAAATCAGCCAATGGGAACCCCATGGATGACAAAGGTCCAAGCTGTAACCACTGTAGGGATAGTTCAGGACTGAGCAATATTTTGTGCCATTGTATATGGTGTCACCATGAGTTGGGGGCTGGGAATCAGACCTGGGTTTCCTGGACAGAAGGCAAGAATTCTACCACTGAACCAATGCCCCACCAAGCATGGAGATACCTGTACAGTAGTCAGAGTTAAGCCACTGCCTTCTGGCCAGGGAAGGTCAGGGACTGGATAAAGGCTCTTTTTCTCACCTTAGTCACAAGCAGCTTATAGGTGGGTGAGATGGAGCCTTAACTCGGATTTGTCATTGGACCAGCTTAGAGGGAGGCATTTGGGAAGCCAGATGACAGGGACGAGCAAGAATGTGGGCACAGAGGGCTCTTGTCTGCCTCTGTCTGATTAAGTGGGTCCCTGGCATGTGGTGGTCCTGTTTAAAGACTTCAGGAACAGATGAATCAGCCTTGGCATTTGTTCCTTCTTCACTCCTACAGCAGGGGTCCCGATGGAAAAATTTGCAGCTTACAACTCATCCAAGGCAGCTCTGACCATGTTCTCGGCAGTTATGAGACAAGAACTTTCCAAATGGGGAGTCAAAGTCATTGTCATCCAACCTGGACCCTTCAAAACAAGTAGGTGTCTGTGTCCTAGGGTCATGCAGTGTTCATTCTCAAAGGAACCTTGAAGGTCCTTTCTTCCTTGTAGACCTCACACTAAACCCCTGAGTGGCCAACCAGAGAGGTTTGGGATAGGTGGGCCCGTTCTCAAAAGAAATGGACAAGTACCAGGCTCTTCAATGCATAGCTCATGCTTTGCTTCCTTCTGGAGTCCCTGGCTGTCCCTGGATAGCCTGTGCAAATGGCTATCACACTCAGCTGCTACTGAGAGGTCAGAGGTTCAAGCCCCTCTGAGGCAACATGGAAGAAAGGACACTGAAAACACCATGGGGCATAGCTCTACTCTGGTACCCAAGGGGTTGCAATAAGTCAATTTGATGGCTCCCAGGGACTCTACATGTCATACATACATGCATGTATATTTGTATTTATATGTATGTATACCAAAACCAAACCTAACTCACTGCCACTGAGTCAGTTCCAACTCATAGTGACCAGATCTCCTTATACGTATGTATGTGTATAAAAAATTTAGTTTAAGGAATTGGCTCATGTGATTGTGGGGGCTGGCAAGCCAGAAATCTGTAGGGCAGGCCCAGCTGGAAACTCGGGCAGGAGCCTTGAAGCAGACTCTTCTGCAGGAAATCTCACTTTTTTCTCTGAAGGCCTTAGACCAATTGCATGGAGCCACATTATTGACGATGATTGCCTTAACTTAAAGTTTAACTGATTGTACGTGTCACCCACAGCTGCAAAGCACCTCCACAGCAACACCCAGATTAGTGTTTGATTAAATCACAGGGTACTTTAGCCAAGCCACACTGACAGCACAGGGTGACACACAGAGAGGAAATCTGGCGAGAGCTAGAGTCAGGGAAAAGTGGCAAATTTAGGAGCTCTGATGGTGCTGAGCTTAAAGCATTGGACTGCTAACCAAAAGGTTACTGGTTCAAACCCACCAGCTGGTCTGCAGGAGGAAGATGAGGCAGTCTGCTTTTATAGATCACAGCCTTGGAAACCCTATGGGGCAGTTCTACTCTGTCCTTTAGGGTCGCTATGAGTTGGAATTGACTTGATGCCAATGGGGTCGGTTTTGGTGAATTTGACTTTGAACTTGGCAGTGAACTGATGGGTTTTGGGTCACAGCCAAAGAAAACTTCTAACAAACGGATGTTTGACTCCATTTAGACAAGAACATGAGCCTACAGTTCTTGACCTGACCATTTGCTGTGAGTTACAGCTCACACCTGGGGTGCTGCTCTTCCCAGGTGCTGTGCACCCACTCTGCATCCATTCTGTCCGATGCTATTGATCTCATTTTTTAAAAACCATTTAGTTTATTTTTGGTGAAAACACACACAGCAGATCACACACCCATCCAACAATCTCCACTTGCACTGGTCAGTGACTGGTTCTCTTCCTCACACTGGGTCACATTTGCCTTTACCCTCCCCATGCCGTTTCACCATCACTGACTTAGACCGACTGCCCGTAAACCACTCATCTGTGCTTTCGAGTTCCTGCTGTCAGACCTTACTTTCTTAAGTTGCAGAATACATCACGTGCATAGAGAAAGCATTGCATGAACTCAGTTTCACAAATTAAACACCCATGCAGCTCACACTCAGATCGAGGTGGGAGGGAGTAGCTGGAGGAACAGTTGCTCACACAAATGTGTTTCTCAAGGCCCAGGTGCCTCCAGACCATTGTCAGGGAATCACTTCTGCAAGCACAGTGCTGCTGCTTCATGAAAAGAAAGGAGCAACTGAGAGTAGTTTGCATCTCCAGTAGGGTAATTGGATTTCACTGGTTTACATTCCCCTGTGAGGCTCCCCTGTGGTCCTAACTTCAAGGAACCCCTGGAGGTGGAACTTGCAATTAAAGAGTCATCCCGGGCTATCCCTGAGCTGGCGTGGGCTTTAGCAGGAGGCAGTGTGGGTGGGTGCAACCTCGGAGGAAAGCAGTCTGGCAACAGCTATTAAAATCCACGATGCATGTGCCTTCTGACTGGGTGGCCACATGTGGGGACTCTGGTCTACAGGAGTAAAAGCCTAAGGACAAGAGCATGTGGCATTGGGAGGCTGTTAAGGTAGCACTTTTTGTAATGGGAAAGCTGAGATGATTGGAGAGGTGTTTGCATACTTTTCTGAATGTTAATTTCCAGAAAAAAATACAAAGTGAAATAAATCCCCTTATGAAGCACATATTTAAAAGGGGATGGTGGGATGCCTGCCCTTCCCAACAGAACCTGTTCAGAATGGCCGCTTTCCTGCAGGGGTGGGGAGCCACTTAGCCTGGCCTCCCCTGCCTTTCGCACCCTGTGCTCACCTGTCTTTCCTCACCTGTCCCAGATATTGTAGGCACACAGGAGATGTGGGAAAAGCAGGAGAAGAACCTTCTGGCTGCCCTAGACCCTGACGTTCTGGAGGACTACGGCCAGGAGTACATTCTTGTCCAGGGGAAATATCTGCGCTTCTCGAAAGACACTTGGAGCATGGATTACACCCCAGTGTTCCGGGATGTCCTGCATGCAGTCTCTTCCAAGAGGCCCTTTGCTCTGTACACGCCAGGAAAAATATCTTACCTGTGGCTTTGCTTTGCCTCTTTCTTCCCTGCTGAGGTGTTTGATTATCTTAACAAGAAAGTACATGGCTCTCCAGACTTGCCCAGAGCTGTAAGCATGACTGCCTGCAAGGATAAGGTTAACTTCAGTTGAATTGGGCAATGTTACAGTCTTAGAGTCAAAGTGAGACTGTGAGCTTCCCATTAAAGTTGCTTTCTCCCAACTTGCACTCCCAGTGAACTTTGTTGATCGCCTGGGACTGAGGAGGGAGAAGGCTGGCAAGTGGTAATGACCATTGAGAGCACAAATGGAGTAGCTACAAAGGTTTTGTCATCTAATCTTGTCAAAGACTTGAGAGAGGTATCCTCATCCCTATTTAATAGGTAAGGACATTAACGATCAGAGAGGTTAAGTTCTTAGTTCCTTGTCACACAACTAGGCAGAGCTAAGAATTCAAATCCAGGCTGGTCTCCACTGCCTGCAGAGAGAGAAGAGGAGGAAGAGAGCACAAAGGGAGAAAGAGGAGAAAAGGCAAGAACAACAGTCACAGAATCCCCAGTGTCCTTCTCACTCTTGCGTCAATAGTAACTAGCACGGCTGATTCTCGTTACTTGCAGTGGTTGGGGTCTATAACGTCACCGCGAGCACTAAACTAGCGGCTATCGAACAGCTGCCCTCAGGGTTAGGTTCCTGTGAGCCTCTGGGCACCACATTTTCATCAATCAATGCATAACCCGATTTTCTGTGTGTTTCTGTCTAAAGACACCTTGTTGAACATACGTTGTTGCTTCATCCATGTTGAGCTCATGGCTAGCAGGACTGTAACGCAGGCCTGAATGCAGCCCCTCCAGCACCCGTGTTTTCTCCTCGTCAGGCACACTGCAACCTTCCTGTGCTTAGGAACACTAAACATCACTTTAGCACAACGCTCAGGGGCCACTTTAAACAGCAAAATCACCAGCCAAAAGCACAGACATGTAAAAAGGTGGCCCTAACTAGATTGTGAAAAAGACCATGTATGTAGTGTGAGAGCTGAATAAGCAGGCAGAGAGAGAGTCGCCTTGGTCCATCTCAATTGGGATGTGCACGTCAGGCGGCCCAAATGTCTCGCTGCCCCACACACATCTGTGAATGACTATGAATGTGCCATGAGTATAGATTTGGGGCTTACAAATAAATTTCAGTGGGTAAGGGAATTCACAAATGCAGAGTTGCGAATAATGGAGTTTGGCTGCACATCTAAGGTATTTAATTCAATATTAGGTGATCAGAGCTCTTAGGCCTTCTCACCCTCCATTCTCTACCTGCCTGGTAATGCTGGAATGAGGTGTTCCATCTCAAGCATGGCCCCAGAGGCCTCCTGGCAAACCCAAGGTATCCAGTTAGGTGGTGGGCAACCACTGCTGCAGCCTCCATCTACCTGAGCATCTCAGGATGGCAAAGCTGGCTGTATTACCTAGAGGAGCCTGACTGAAAGGAATAATGTCAGACACTAACAGATATGTGGTTAAGTTCAGCTAGAGAAGAGAAAAGGGGAGGAAATGGGGAACAGAACCCAAAAAACCGACTATCTCCTTGGCATAAGGGGAGAGGGTTCACAGACCTTGCTTCTTGAAAGCCTCTCTTATTTAATTTCCTTTCTAGAAGATGGAGGTCCTTTTTCCTACTTTCCAACCTCATGGAAATTTTGTGAAAGTAGATAAAATAGCAATGCTCTGTGATTTTCTTCCAAAGAAAACAACAAGTAACAATACAGTGGTGTAAATACTCATGGGACATTGACATGACACGTTTTTAAAGCAGCGCTTGTCTGAATCTGCATGATGGTGCTGGTGAAGAATACTGAATATACCATGGACTGCCAGAGGAATGAACAAATCTGTCCTGGAGGAAGTACAGCTGCAATGCTGCTTAGAAGCAAGGATGGCAAGCCTTTGTCTCATGGAACTTGGCCATATTATCAGGAGGGACTAGTCCTTGGAGAAGGACATTGTGCTTGGTAAAGTAGAGGGTCAGCAAAATAAAAGGAAGACTCTCAAGCAGATGGACTGACATAGTGGCTGTGACAAGGGGCTCAAACCTAGCAACGGTTGTGGGGATGGTGCAGGACCAGGCAGTGTTTCATGTCGTTGCACATAGGGGTTGCTATGAGGTGGAACCACTTGAAGGCACCTAACAACAACAGTATTTTTAACAGCTGGATATGCTGACTGCCCAGTGCATCTGCACATTGCTTCAGGGCAGAACAGAAAGGGGGGGATCAACTGTGTTGATTTCCAAAACAGGCACTTTTTAGAGGTAAGAACTGTCCTGTGCATGATCTAGGTGTTGTTGAGACAACAAAGAATTAGTGTAACCTACACTCCAAAGTCTGGAGGACTGAGGATGGTACGTTTCACCACAAACCAGGGGTTCTCAAAGTGGGGTCTCTGAACCAGCAGTATCAGCATTACCTGGGAACCTGGTAGGAAGGCAGCTTCAAAGGCTTCACCTCAAACCTACTGTATGTGCTTACTATTGCTGCTATAACAAATCACCACAAACTTAGTGACTACAACAACTCAAATTCATTATCTTATTTTTCTGGAGGTCCAGAGTCCAACTGAGTCTTATAGAGCTAACATCAAGGTGTCAGCAGGGCTGCATTCCTTGTGGAGGCTCAAGGGGAAAACTTGTCTCCTTGGCTTTTGCAAGCTTCGAGAAGCCACTCTCATTCCTGGGCTTAAGGTCCCATCACTGTGACTGTTTCCATTGTCTCATCTCTTTCTCTGACCCTGATGCTCCTGCTTCCCTCTTATTAGAACCTTTGTGATGACATTGGCCCCACCTGGATAATTCAGGGTAACCTCTCCATGCCACAACCTTAATCATACCTGAAAGACCCTTTTGTCAGGCAAGGTAACATATTCACAGGTTTTGGGGATCAGAGCATGGACATCTTTGGGGGTCATCATTCTGCCTTACCACAGCTCCAGAATCAGAAACTCTGGGGGTGGGGCCCAGCTCTCTGTGTTATAACAAGCTTCCCACGTGGCTGTGATGCACAGCCAGGTTGGAGGAGTGGGACTCCATGCCATAGCATAACCAGGCTGCTGGATCCCAGGTAAGGCTGCAGAAGAAGGGAGAAAGCTTTCAGAGGACTGTGGGAGAGAGATGGAAAGATGTAAAGAGTTGAGACATGAGCATGGTGCCTATTTTCTGCAGCCTCCTAGAGGCTGAAAACTCTGTGATTATGGAGAGAAGATGCTGAATAGAGACCACAGATCGGCCTGGGAATCCCAGAGAAGAGAGGCTCATGTCCGTTTTCCTAGAGAAGTGTTTCCAAAGGAAACACAGGGTGGCTTATTTATCCAGAGAAAGACTGTCCCGACTGGGACTCCCTTGGTTTTGGGTGGGTGTCTGGAGGTCTGGACAAGTCTCTGACTGCATTAGTTTCTACGGGCTGCCACAACAAAGGACCACAAACTGAGGCTTAAAACAACAGACACTTATTCTCACACAGTTATGGAGGCCGGAAGTCCAAAATCAAGGTGTTGGCACAGCCACACCCTTCTGATGTCTGTCGAGGAGGATCCTTCCTTGCCTCTTCAGCTTCTGGTGGTTGGTGGCAATCCTTGGCATTTTTTGCTTGTGGCTGCATCAGTCTAATCTCTGTCTCCATCTTCACGTGGCCTTCTTCCCTTTGTGTCTCTTCTCCTCCTCTTACAAGGACTCCAGTCATATTGGGTTAGGATCTACCCTGCTTCAGTAACCTCATATTAACTGGTAACATCTGTAAAGACCTTACTTCCAAATAAAGTCACATTCAGAGCAACAGGGGCTAGGACTTCAACAAATCTGGTTTTAGAGCACACAATTATCCCACAACAAGAAAGGAGGGAAAGAGCTTAGAACTAAGAATGAAGGAACCTGTGGACATTGTGATTAGAATGAGGGGACCCTATAGTAGGGGCCATTGGGTGGGCAGCCTAGAGCTGGGGGCTGAAGAAAGGATGGATGGGAAACTTTAAAGGGAGGCCAGTGCACATGAGACAAATGCCCTTTCCCTGAAATAACCCCTAGGAACCTAGATCTACCTGAGGAAAAGGGCAGGGAGAAGAGAAAGGGAAAGGGAAGAACCTGGAATTCAACTGCACATTGGCCTGCAAGACCCTGTTTGAAACTGGAAGAGACTAAGTTAACTGAAAGTATTAAGTGTTCAAATATATAAGTATTTTATTTTTACCACAATACCCATAGTTTCTCAGAAGACAAAAGAGACAAGTATTATATACAAAAGTGTGTCATACCTTAGCCACCTCTGACCAGGAAGTGATGTCACTGGTTACTCTTTTCCTCTTAGACTTAATGCCAGAGAGGAGCTCCTCTTACCTCCAACATGTTGTTGTTGTTGTTATGTGCCGTCGAGTCGGACCCAACTCATAGCGACCCCTCCTTGGGTTTCTGAGGCGGTATCACTATGGATGTAGATTGCCCAACCTTCCTTCCCAGGAGTGGCTGGTGGGTATGAACTTCCAGCCTTCTGGTTAGCAGTCAAGTGCCTTAAGCACTATGCTACCAGAGCTCCTCCAACATAGCCAAATGTAACTGTATTCTAGGAGGAAGCACGATGAAAAGGTGATTCCACAAGAGAACTGTTGGCAATAGCATCTCCCGTCCTCAGTCCTGCTCTCCGGCCCAGGGGCAGCACTCACGTTCTTACACTGACTCTCTGGCGACACCTCCCATCCCATCCAGATGGATCCTGGCCCTACTCCCTCCCCATTCTGTCTTCCTTCTTAGTATTTTTCTGATGGTGTCAACAATGAGAAGTCCCTGGGTGGTGGAAACTAGTAACGTGCGCTGCTACTAACCAAAGGAGCTCTGGGGGTGCAGTGAGTAAGGCATTTGGCTGCTAACCGGAAGGTCAGTGGTTCAAACCCACCAGCTGCTCTGTGGGAGGAAAATGGGGCAATCTACTTCCATAAAGATTTACTACCTTGGAAACCCTATGGGGGTCACTATGACTTGGAACTGACTTGATGGCAGTGGGTTTGCTTTTTGTTTGGTTTGCTACTAACCAAAATGTTGGCAGTTCGAGTTCTCCCAGTGGCCACTTGGAGGAAAGGCTGCTCAAAACCCTGTGAGCTCAGTTCTACTCTGACACACAGAGG